GGTATTCTGAGCACCTAAAGCGTCGTTCTCCTTGTTAGCTGCACCAAGGTTATCAGAGAGCATGCGAACCTTGGCATTTACCAGCTCAACCTATTTCTGCATGGCCATTATCCCGTACAGGGTCTGTAGAGATATATATGATAACTGATTAAGCCGAGCAGATGGTCAGAAGAAATCAAATGTAAAGATTCATTGATTGAGGGACAGAAGTTACCTCCATGGCAGATAAGGGGAACCGGCTGAACACTTTCTTCTGAGACAGACCCTTGGCTACCTCAATATCCTTAGGAGTCCACATGCTCCTGTAGTATGCCATAGCGGTCTGACCATCCTTGAACATGGTCTCGTCCGATATTACAGATGATCCGTCTGTTCGAATGAAGCGAGGGTTCCATAGTGCCGTTCCAGAGGCAGAGGCATGCCCAGAGGGGGTAGGAGGCCTAGTTAGAGGGTGCACGGATGCACTCGGCCCAGAAGGCCTAACCCTGCTGAGAGCACTATCAGGCTGATGCCTTTTTCCTCTCGTCTTTTCCCGTGCGGTAGCAGTAGCAGTGCTGGGAAGGTTGCTGACAGAAGGGGTCACGTTTGGATTGACAGTCGTAGTGTTGGAGATCGGGTCGGTAGCCGTCACGATCAGATCGGTGGAATGAGTGGTATCAGAAATAGTGGCAGAGGAAGATACTGAAACTGGAGAAGAAGTTGCTGTAGGGGCAACAACGGTCCTGGGGGCAGCTTTCCTCCTACCGAATGAAGGGATTTGGAGCTGACTCATTGTCTTGCCAAGGGCTGAGAGAGCTAGAAGGTTGTCTGAGGTAAGGAGATCCGAGCAAGAGGGAATATTGGTCAGAACGTACTGCTTCAAATAGTTATCTCTATCCCTGCAAACACCGTAGCTCAAATCATCACAAGGAATGCCTAAGGAACGACATAAGAAAGTACAAAAGCAAGGAACGCAAATCTCGCAAGGACAATCACTCTTATGGGTTTTGTATTTTTTATATGAAGAGACAAAGCACTCTCCAAAAGTGCTCAGGATAGGAAAATTCTCTGCGGCTGGAGAAAACCAGGCTCCCCTAATCCTAATTATATTTTTTCTCCAACCCTTTTCAGATTTGATTTTATCTTTGCAGATGGACCTCTTCTCAATTGGGTAGAAGTGGTAAAACGGTTCATCAGTTCTGATTTTGCTAACCTTGTAACAGAGGAGAAGATCTACAAGGTCCAGATCTAGACCTCTGTCACGGTTCAGAAGCAACATAACAGATAAAACCCTGAGGAAATTTGGGTTTACTTGCAAAGGGGAAAGTTTCAGTTTATTAAAAACATAATTAAAGAAGGGATGCAGAGGGAACCTAAGGAGGTTAAGATGAAGGTGGAAAAATAGAACCTCGCCGGAAAGAAGGCCAGCACCAGTTCTAATATTCACCTTTTTAGGGCAATTTCTAATTTGTATATCGTCGGGAAGATGAAGTTTCATGCGAAGAACATCTAGATTTATAGTCATGGTGAGAATGAATGAGGATTTCAAGGGAGAAAAAAAGGTCTTCCGAAAGAAAAAGGCAAACAAAACTAACCTCAGAGAGAGAAAACGTCAAAGAGTACTGCAAAGTCGCTGGAAAAAAGAGCTTTTGCAAGAAATCGCCGGAGAAGATTTGAACAACAGTAAAGTAAGATGGAGACGGTAAAGAGAATCGATAAAACATCTATGAGGCTTATAAAGACAAGGTGGGCCCGAAAGCCGAGGAGTCAGGAAAGCGAGGAGTTTTTTGAATCTCGAAGCGCCGACCCCCAAATCTAACTGTCTATTCTTCCATGTGATCTTTTCGAGCCGTCAAATCATGATTAGCAGCCTTTAATAATTACCCCCTAATTATTAAGGAGTAATTATGGGGGCAATTGAGGATACAATAAGTGATATGGGCCGGTTATAATCCACGGACGTGGCATCGGGGCAAACAATTGAAATACAGCCCATACTAGAGCACCACAGAATGGGCCGAGCTCGGAGGATCCACTGAACAAGACCAAGCCCATTGGAAGGAAGGCCCAAAACTAATAGTCCAGCAACACTTGTAATTGCCTATAAAAGGGCAGTGAAGAGAGTAAAAGTGGGGGGAGATTTATTTTTAATTGAAAATGTAATGAGATTTTGTCCAAATAGAGAGAGAAAATTCTTTGCATCTTCAATTAGATTACCTGGAACAATTTGAATGTAATTCAAGGCTTTGATGTAACTAAAATTACGTTTTAAGTTGTTCATAGTGACCGAGTATTCCTTTTGTCACTTCATTTATAACAGCAACTTCAATGCTCTTTTATTTGGGCTTTTGAAACTCAAAATATGAGAGTTGAGTAAAAAAGGACCTCTCCAATATGCTCTTATTTGAACTCTCAAAATTTGAGATTCTCAAATTTCTTTTCATATATGGCAGCTGCCAAATTTTTTTGACTAGTCTCTCATTTCTCAAAACGGTGCCGTTTCTCACCGGTCATCACTTACTCGTATCATATATAATATAATATATATATATAATATACATATATATTATATATAATATATATAAATTTTTGAAAAAATTAATTCACAAATAGTGGTAAAAAAATTATAAAAAATTTGTCATTTTTGGTCATTTTTTGACCAGATATTTTAGATTTGTACTTCTTTTTAATTAGATTTAATTTTAGTTACCTTCTAATGTCTATAATTTGACTTGAAATGTGCCTAATATTAATATTACTGATGCAAATATGAATGGTGAGAATGATAGTTGAAAAAGAATAGTAGTTGTGTTAAAAAATAACATTTTGCGTGAAATGAACCATTGAAACAGAATTGTTTAAATATAACATTTTGGCACTATAGCACCTGTCAAAATATAAATTTGGCATACGAAAATAAATTTTAGCATTGAAGATGCTTTAAAAGAGAGAAAAAGAGGGGGACCACAGTGTATAATAATTTTTGTCATTTCCAATTATTCTACATCTGTCATTGCTGAAGTAACTTTTTTTCGTTCCCTTGCAAAATTGCTAATTTTTTTTTGTGGTCCAAATGATCAAAAAGGACCTCTGACCATACGAGGGAAACTAAAGATGCTGAGCAAAGAAACACATAAAACAACAAAAATCATACTTTATTTATTATTATTATTTTTGTATGTACATTGTTTTTTTTTTTTTTTTTTTTTTTTTTTTTTTTTTTTTTTTTTTTTTTTCGAGGATCAGATCAATGATGTTAATTTGACAACCATCAACGGAAAAAGCAAAAAAGATTTTAGCTTTAGAAACTAAAAGAGTAAAAAAAAATTAGCTTTATAAACCACTCTTTTATATATTTTAATTAAGTTAGTTATTCCCTCCGTCTCATCTCATATTTAGTGTCGCTTTTGGTAATCGTGACTTACAATTTGAGATAGAGATAGTACACTAAATATGGGATGGAGGGGGTATTTTCTAAGCAAAGTAGGCGGCCACAATTAACCCTGATGAATTATGAAGCACTTGAACTCTGATCTTTATACAAGAGTGAAGGTAGCTATTGTCTAACATGTACATAGAAATACAACTAGTTACCACTACTATTTTTATTTTTATTTTCATTTCTTAGACAAGATTGTTGAAAAATAAACTTAATTTTAGTATTTAATATTTTCAAGTATTTTTATATCCATGATGCATGTGTGAATTTAGCATATATGTTAGTGGATAGTAAATTATCTTAGTGGGAGTTAATGTTATGTAAAATCAAAAGTTATGAGAGTTGAGCCTAGTAAATACTATGTTAGTGGGAGTTATGCCTATTGAAGAGTATGTTAGTGGGAGAAATGAGAGTAGTAGGCATTTATATGTAATTCATAGATATGTGTTCTCAAGGTCTATATAATCATGTATTCTAGCAATTTTAATTTGGGAATAAGTGAAATAATATATTTCTTTCTCCATTTCTCTTTCAAATTATATAGAGTTGTATTTGTTTGTATAATCCACTATTTCCAATAAAGTGGTATCGGAGCAAAGTTAGAAAGTGGTATCAGAGCAAAATCCAACAAAGTGGTATCAGAGTCGGGTTTCATATTAGAGCTTTCATGTTTAGAATCTAGACGATCCTAAAAGCCTGACGAAGTTGATCCTAGAAGGTTCAACATTTTAAGGAAAACATGTTTCTCCTTGATGATGAAGAAGATGGGAAAATGTATTTTCTTAGTGAGAAGATAATGTTATCTAATTATAAGAGAATGAGAATCATCATTATTTCATACCTCAAAACATGTGATTTGTGGGATGTTGTTGGAGAAGAGCCAAAGAATTGCACATCCAACAAGTTTCGTGAAAAGAAAGAAATTAAGGCATTAGCAGTGTTGGAAAAGACAATATATCAAGAAATTTAGGAGTATTTTGGAGAGGCCAAAATTTTAAGTTGTATTTGGAAGATACTTGAGACCATTGTTTCCAATCATAAACGTGAATCACTACCCATGGAGTATTGGGTACAATGCTTTGAGGATGATGAGCTTACGAAGGTTGATTATGAAAGTCTTGAGGAAAAATTTATGGAGAATGAAGAGGCGAACAATACAAATAAAGTTGAAGAAATTGAAGATTCAAAAGTTGAAGGCCAAAGTGAAATGGAGAATAAGGAAGAGATAAAGAAAGGTGTTGAAAAAGAGAATGAAAAAGCGGAGGAGATTGAAGAAGTAAAAGGAAAATTAAAGAAGAAAAAAGTGCTAAAGAATAGGCAAAAGTTGATGAAATTGGTGAGCTAACAGTTTCAGGTATGGTTCCAAATTCCAATTTCAAAGAAGTTAGATATAACTTATTTGATAAAATATTGATTTCTTCATATTCATCTCAATTGGAAAGCAAAATCAAATATTATGATAATTGTGTTGTTGTGGAGAATGGCGAAATTCGCTTCAAGAAAGTTGTCAAAATAAAGTATGAGATTGAAGCTCAAGATGATAAGAATTTATCAAATTGTTTTTTAAAAATGGTTTGGAGAGTCGGGGCTGACAGTGAAATGGGAGGAAGAGAAGTTTGGGGTGTCGGTGAAGAGGGAAGAAGTGAAGAAAGCTATACAACAGGTGATGGATGGAGGTGAGGAAGGACAAGAGAGGAGAAAAAGAGCAAGAGAGCTTGGGAAGATGGCAAACAGGGCACTAGAGGAAGCGGGTTCTTCTTTTCTGAACATGGCCACGTTAATTCAGGACATTATGCAACAACTTATTATCAATCAGTCTTGAACCATGACATAAACACACAGATCTATTGGTTACAACAATACACCGGAGTAACAAATCAATGGTGAATCTAATATCACGAGGTCACGACACTCGTGACATATTCGGAACCAAGGAATCTATGTCCTTTGTATGCATTATTATGTCTATTCCTTGATGTCCTTTGCAGACAATGTTATGTCTATTCCTTGATGTCCTGTACCCTTAATACGTCTCGAAATTCTAGAAACTGGTCCCGCAATTCAAATGATGGGTCCTACTTGACAGCATCCCATTGTCAGGACCTATCTATCATTATTGTTTGTTTTGCTATCACCTTCGGGCATCTACCCAAACTGTCATTCTCCTTGTAAAACTGCCGTGCAAACAATGGCCACGTTATCATTGGCACGATAAAGTTGGAGAATGGCTGGACCAACTGCCATTCTCCTACTTTGTTTTTACTAGTTTTTCAATGCCATACTACACTACAGAACATAGAAGAGGATCGAAATAATAACCTAATCGACACAAGTGGCTCATGAGACGGTTCATCGGACAAAATTTAATCAGTAGCCAAATCAAGCAAACAAGCTAATAATCTAAAAAAAAAAAAAAAGATATTATGATTAGCTTGATTTGTAATTTTAAAAATAATTTTATATTATCATAAATTGAAAATAAAAAAAATTGTACAACAAATTCTACTTGATTCAATTTTCTGAAAACTATTTTTTGAAAACTTTATAAAAATACTTATTTTCAGATAAATGTCTTTTATAATTTTCTGAAAATAATTTTCTAATGTCTAAATTCTTAAAAACTGTTTTCAAAATAACAAACCAAACCCACCTATACTTTTTTATTTTTATTTTTGTTCTTTTGAGAGATCATGTTAGACCAAAAAGATTTTAGTTCTAGAAACTAAAACCACACATATATTTTTTAATTGATATTTATTTTCTAAGTACGAAGAATCTTTGATTGCTTGCTCTCAAGCAATCTTATATCAGGAGTGAATAAATGCTATGTCAAGTTGTTATCATCAAGGTTTTTTAAATTGAGATTCTATGCAAGATCGATGAGGAGTTCATAAGATCAGAATCGTAAGATCGGATCGAAAATCGTAAGATTTTATTAAAATATTAGAAAACTAACTCAAATTAATTTTCTAAATCAAACATTTTTAATATAAATAGAGAATAAGGCTAAATAACCAATTCAGACACTTCAACAAAATTAATTAACATTAAAAGTATTAAGACACGTTACAAATACTAAACATCAATTTCTTGATTTATACAAAAAATCAACATAACAATCATGCAAAAACGTAAAGAAGAAATTAAAGTAAAGCCTAATATATGGAGAAAAGTACAATTTATTTGCATAATTGTTTGAGCAATTTAGTTGAAAAGTTTACTTTTTTGTTAAGAAAAAAAACAAAATAGAGATAGAAAGAATAACGGAAAAAAAGATGAAGTCTTTCTTTATTTTTGTTTCAAAATTGACAAAGAATAGATAGAAAAATAGAATTCTTTATATTCATTGTACTGAAAAAAGAAAAAAAAAAGAAGAAGAAAAGAGAAATTAAGAAGAATAAAAAAAATAGAGAAAATTTTGAAATTTTTAAACAATACCTTTGAAATTCAGAGATCATCTCTACATTGAATGTTTATCTATTTTTTTTTTTTTTTGGTAAAGTACAGCGACACCCCCTAAGGTTTGGCAAAAGACACGTAGAGAAAACTTACCTATTTCTTTGGACAAAGACACCCCCTGAAGGTTAAAAAATGGACAAAGACACTCCTTTACATGAGAAATTGACCAAATTATCCTTTGACCATTTAGGAGACTTTTTTAACTCTACAATTTAATAAATTGGACCAATCTACCCTCATGAACAATTTATGCATAAAAAAAAGTAAAAAAAAAAAAAAAAATTTATATTGTTAACTTTTTTTTTTTTTTGGTTATTTACTTTATAAATGGCCCAACTTCTTAAAAATGTAGACGTCTAAAATGATTTTTTGATCCAATACATATATTTTAAATAAATTATATTTTGTTATTACTTCTTTTCTTTTTCTTTTTTATTTTTAAATTAAGATACTTAATTCTTTCATCTAAAAAAATTAAACCAATCCATTTTCCTTAAAAATAAAAAGACGGTACCAGTATAACTTTATGCATCTTAAGTTATATATCAAATATTATACATTTCCCAACATAAAAGGGAAAAATAATAATAATAAAACAAAGGGAAAAAAAAGAAGAAGGCATGCATAAAGTTAAGTTGCATAAAGTTATACTGGTACCTATTTTCTTTTTTGTTGGAAAATGCATAATATTTGATATATAATTTAAGATGTATAAAGTTATACTGCTACCATATTTTTTATTTTTAAGGAAAATAGATTGGTTTAATTTTTTTAGATGAAAGAATTAAGTATGTTAATTTAAAAATAAAAAGAAAAAGAAAAAGAAAAAGAAAAGAAGGAATACCAAAATATAATTTATTTGAAACATATGTATTGAATCAAAAAATCATTTTAGACGTTTACATTTTTAAGAAGTTGGAACATTTAAAAAGTAAATAACCAAAAAAAAAGAAAAAAAGTGAACAATATAAAGTTTTATATATATATTTTTTTACTTTTTTTTTTATGCATAAATTATTCATGAGGGTAGATTGATCCAATTTATTAAATTGTAAAGTTAAAAAAGTCTCCTAAACGGTCAAATGATAATTTGGTCAATTTTTCATGTAAAAGGGTGTCTTTGTCCATTTTTGAACCTTCAGGGGGTGTCTTTATCTAAAAAAGAGGTAAGTTTCATTTAAGTGTCTTTTTGTCAAATCTTAGGGGGTGTGACTGTACTTTACCATATATTTTTTTTTTAATGTAATTGTGAGGACCACTATAATATTTTAGCTTTATAAACCACTCTTTTATATATTTTAATTAAGTTATTTATTCCCTCCGTCTCATCTCATATTTAGTGTTGCTTTTGGTAATCGTGACTTACAATTTTAGATGGAGGGAGTACACTAAATATGGGACGAAGGGAGTACTTTTTAAGCAAAGTAGGTGGCCGCAATTAACCCTTGATGAATTATGAAGCACTCGAACTCTGATCTTTATACAAGATTGAAGGTGGCTATTGTCTAACATGTACATAGAAATACAACTAGTTACCACTACTATTTTTATTTTTATTTTCATTTCTTAGACAAGATTGTTGAAAAATAAACTTAATTTTAGTATTTAATATTTTCAACATATTTTTATATTCATGATGTATGTGTGAATTTAGCATATATGTTAGTGGGTAGTAAATTTTAAAAGTATAGTCACGGTATTTATTTATTTGTTTTAATTGTATTTTTAATTATTTAATTGATTATTTGACTAATTGCTTATGTGTTTAATTGAATTAGGTATTACTTGATTATTTGATTATGTGTCTATGTATTATTTGTATTTGTTTATGTGTTAATTGTTTAATTAGATTATGTGCTTAAATGGTGTTTTGATTAATTGTAAATTAAATGTTTTCTTTTCTTTTATTATTTTATTTTATTTTTCTTTTATGGTTGTGGTTAGTAATAATGGGCCAACCAATTGGATCCCATGAACTACTTGGATAGGAGGTTGGATGTGTATGGATTATTACCCATGGATAGTTGTGTATGTATATATATAGATATATATTATATACATATATAAAAAGGAAAGTAATTTATTAATTATTTTTATGGTAACTTGGGTAGTAATATTTAATCTGATATATATGTTTTATATTTAAATAATAAAAATATACGTAGATTTGATACGTGATATATTTTAAATTACTTTATAATATTATGGCAACTTAAGTATTATTGGATAATTCATTAATAAATAATGGAATGTGTATAATTTATTTTTTTAATAAACATATACATAAATTATATACGTAACATATTTTACTTACCTTTTTAATATATATAAAAGGGGAAGTAATTTATTAATTACTTTTATGGTAACTTGGGTAGTAAAATTTAATTTGATGTATATATTTTATATTTAAATAATAAAAATATACGTAGATTTGATACGTGTTATGCTTTAAATTACTTTATAATATTATAGTAACTTAAGTATTATTGGATAATCCATTAATAAATAATGGAATGTGTATAATTTATTTATTTAATAAAGATATACATAAATTATATACGTAACATATTTTACTTACCTTTTTAATATTTTAATATATTTTTTTTTTAAGTTGACTTGGATTGGGAAAATGGTTAGGATTATTTTATTTAGCCTATAAATATATAGTTATATGTTGTAAAAGGGGGTTAGAAATATTCATGTGATATATTCTAGAGAGATAGAGAGTTAAAGAGGGAATGAGGAAAAAAAACCCTGTAGAGAGAAAATCAAGGAAGAAGAAGTTTAACTTTCGATCCAAAAGTTTAAGGCAAGTTTTTCTTCTATCTCTTTCCCTTTGATTCGTGTTTCTGTACATGCCTAGGAAATTCTAGGATTTATTAAATACATAAAATTAAATAATTATGCATGTTTAATTGGATTAGAACATAGGTTTTATGAATTTGGTTCATATCTGTTCTTGTATTATAAATTGATAAATGGATGATTTTGATTTGATTTCCGGTGTGAATTTTTACATGTTTAAATTATGTATTTTTCATATCTGTAGAATGATAGAACGTAGAAACATGCCTAGGATTCCTGAACATTAAATAGGAACTAGGTTTGGGTTTAAATAAATTTAAATAGACTCAATCATAATGATGTTTGCTATTTGAATATTTTAAATAAACGAATGAATTTAATCTTTTAATATGTTTTAACAATTGAGATTAAATATGTAGGATGAATTGGATATAGAAAATACTTATTTGACGCTATAATAAAATATCATCATATGTATAAGATTCAGTTTATGTAGGACATATGATATAGGAAGCTTAAATAAATAATAAGTCATTCCTATTTTGTGATAACTTGATATCATATTATCATAGT